AGCACTCTGGGAGGCCAAAGCTGGAGGATCGCTTGAGCCCAGGAGTTCCAGACCAGCCTGAGCAAGAGCGAGACCCCATCTCTACTAAAAATAGACAAATTAGCTGGGCATGGTGGTGCGCGCCTCTAGTTCCAGCCACTCGGAAGGCTGAGGCAGGAGGATTGCTTGAGCCCTGGAATTTGAGGTTGCTGTGAGCTAGGCCAATGCCACAGTACTCTAGCCTGGGTACAGAGCACTCTGTCTCAAAAAACAACAAAAAAGTTGGTTATATAGAAAGTATAAAAAGTCACTGGATGATGTAAAGCAGAAGACCGATTGCCTGGGGCGGGGTGGGGTGATAGGAAGTGACTGCTAATGAATACATGGTTTCTGTTGGGGCGATGAAAATGTTTTAGAATTAGAGAGAGGTAGTAGTTGCACAACTTTGTGAATACGCTAGAAACTACTAAATTGTATACTTTAAGAGGCTGAATGAATAATATCTCAAAAAGAAAAAGAGAAGTCATGAGGTAAGGACGCAGCAGCTTCCACCCCCATCACAGCCTAGGACGGAAATGTGAAGAGAGGCCTGCAGTGGTGAGCCCTGCCTGGCAGTCGGAGCTCCTGCTACGACGCCCTGCTCCTGGCCCCGGCCTCCCACGCCCTCGCGCCTGCCCTCACCTGCTTGACCTCCTGCTCCTGGCTGCAATTCTCCCAGTAGTTGGTCACGATGAAGGTGGCGTGAGCCCCGGTCAGGGCCAGCTCCATGCTGGTCTGGTCATCCTGGTCTCCCTGCACTACTTCTGCACCTTGCAGCCTCAGCTCCTTCGCTGCCTTCTGCCCAGGGTCCCGGGTCACCACTCGAACCCTGAATGTCCCATCTTCCAGGAGCGTGCGGGCCACCGAGCCACCCTGGGCACCTGCGACGAGTCAGAAAGACATCCCTGGTCAAACCTGTGCGAGTCCCACTGAAAGGTAAAGCCCTGCAGGGCATGGAAGGAGGCCCCTGATATCTGCATGTGTGTGAGGAGATGTAACTACATGGGTACCATTACTGTACAGCAAAGGACTAGAAATGTCCAGAATAGGCAAATCCATAGATAGCAAAAGTAGACTGGTGCTTCCCAGGGGTTGGCGGCGAGGATGAGAATGGGGAGTAACTGTTAATGGGTAAAGGGTTTCTTTTTGGGGTAAAATGTTCTAAAACTGATTGTGGTGGTGGCAGAACAACTCTGAGAATATACTAGAAACCAATATTAGCAAGATGCCTGGAATTTTCCAAAAAAAAAAA